AGCTTACCTCCAAAACACGAGACACGAAAAAGCATTGGATGTCCGGTCTATCGTAGTTAGTCAGTGCCCGGAATACTAGAGAGGGTGTAGACTGGCAAAACAGTGGAGTGTGCAACGAGGCGTTCGCTATCGATTTTCCCGCGTCTCGCGCGAGATAGCTACGAACGACTTGACGGTGTTACGGGGTAAACGAGTCCCGTCAGCGTTCATTCTCGGCGCGGCGCGCGTTATCCCGGATTATATCACTTGGCGAAAAAGATCGCGTCGCCGATAGAACAATAGAACGTTTCCCCCTTCGTTTCAGGGGAAATTGGATAAACGCCTTTTAGAATCTTCGCGAAATCGCAGCGAGCACGACTGCGGAATCGTTCGGATCGCCTTCCGATTAATCGACTTAGCGCGCGGACGATGATAGCGCGTTCGAACGAACGAAACGGTTGCACGTGCAACCCTCGATCTCCGGCCGAGCGATAGCGTTCTCCTCTCCGTGATCGCGGAAATTAGAAGCTTCTCGAATTCGAAATGATCGAGTCGTTCTCCGTTCTCTCTCTTTCTTTTTTCTGGCGGATCTCTTAAACGGATCCTTTCGACGTGCTCCTCTCTTTCGATTTTTACCCTCGAGGTTTTTTTAACATAAATGAAAAGAAAAGTATAAGCAGTGTTCTAAGTGTTAAGTAAAGAGTCGTCCTATTTTGTCATTTGTACGGAATATTTACAGGCATTGTATTATGTTACTCGTATTTTAATTGCAAGAGAAAGTTGATTAACGATGAATAAAGTATAACTGATAGTAATATATTAAATATAGTAGTACTATATATTTCAATACTGAAAACTTTCGCGTATCATTTTGTACATGAGACAAATTTTATATCGATTCAGTTTCTTTTCTAGTACATCTACTTATGTTTGTTGCATACGTTTTAAATGGCGTAATAAACCAGTAGTGTTTGCATACTTAGTTTTAAATTCATGATGACAATGTGTCAATCATCTTTTTCCTGAAAATATTCCCAAACAGAGCTTCTCCTTACCTTCTTCCTTTGCACGATATCTTCTGCACTACTTCCTGCTATCACAACTTTACACTCACTATCACTCGACATTTTTTTGAAAGATTTTTAGTCTTTATTAAATTCACGCAGATTTTGAAATATACGTCTGAACTTCGCGAATGTCTCGGCGATACTGCTCAACAGCGTACATAATGCCCAAATATTAAGCACGCAGTCACACGTTCGTTTACATCAGGTCACACGATTCTTAGAATCCGTGTTTCCAATAATTTCACTGGCAGAAGAAATTGAACTGTGTATTTACATATTTCGTAGGCCGATTATACAGCATTATAGAGTAGTTCGAGAAACGGTAGCCGGGTTTTCGAAATTTTCGGGAATCCGATCAACCCGACTCGACATCTTCCTGACCATCGGGTGCCCGATATTTTTGGGTTCTCGCACACCCCCATTTCGTCACGTTGGCGAGAGTAATTTATAATGTAGTTTTCGTTTTCTTCTTCGTCGCAAATAATGACAAAATTTTCGTAACCACCGTGAAAGACATTTTCATGATAAAATTTCTTGGTGAGTTACGGTGGCTTCAGGCCAGAGAGAAACACGGTGACATAGCGCGTGGAAAAGAACCTTCAGAAAGAATATTTTTCGGCTCGGACGTTTCCCTTGGGTTGAAAGGATCCCCGGAAGTCTCGTGTTCCTCCGGTGTTTGTCCAAGTGTGCGTGACGTTTGAATTGTTTTGCCACCTTTTCGGGCAAACCCTCCGGGGCCTTAATGCACCGTATCTGTGTCTTTGGTAAATGGACACCGCTTCCACGCCGGTGTGGCGTTCTCTTCAAATGTCTAATGCGAGGAGGTGGCTCCCGTTACCGCGGCCAAGTGTCAGCCCAGCTCTATTGGACGTCACCGCGTCCATTGTCAACCGAGAAATTTAATTATGTTTTCCGGCGGTGCCGGACGTTCTAATTTGTACCATACGACGCTCTCACCGTAGAAAAACTTCGGAAGAGAAGAGCTCGGGAAGTTGATCAGTATTTCTCATTAACAACCATCAGAAAGAAGCTTGAATGATTTTGTCAGTAACGCGAGTATTATTGTAACTGATCAACAGTAACATGTCACACAGAAAATTCACAACAAAGCGAAGAAACGAGATGAAAGTAACCTTGGTAAGACGGGGGTTTTTTTTTTTCATCTGGAACTGGACAGTTTTTGCGGCGCGATGAAAATTCAAAACGTAACGAAATTCGCGTGAAAACGCGAGAAGAAGGCGCGACGCCGAGGAGAAAGGGGAAAGAAAAAAAAATCGAGAGAAGCGAACGGCCGCGAAACCGGTCGATTCGATTAGCGGCGAGTTAACTCGGTCCACGGAGCAATAGATTGCATCCATTAACGGGGCGCGCGTCTAAACCTTGTTACAAAGGATGCCGTTTCATGATCGTTCCTCCTTTTAATAATGCTGTTGGCGTCGTTGCAGCAAAACGGGTAGCAGGGGAACCGGCCCCTTTCAGACAGAGAGAGAGAGAGAGAGAGAGAGAGAGAGAGAGAGAGAGAGAGAGCTCGGTGGCAAAAAATTATTTGAAAACTGGCCGTGAGGCCGAGGGGTGGGCGGGAGGAGGGGGAGGGGGCAGTCGCAAACTCGGTGCATTACACGCAGACCATAATTAAATGTCGTGCAACTCATCACTGATGGACACGCCTAATTTCATTCGCTGCCGTAACTTCATTAATAATTTACGTCCCTTTCAGCTCCGCTGTCGCCATCCTTCCCCATGCCATCCGGTAATTGTAGTTCAAAAGATTTTTCAGCACGAGCTCGACGACGAGCTTACGATTTCTTCGGGCTATGGGAGCAGAGAAATATTCGATCTCTCTCTTTCTGAGTTCGGAGATCATCGGCCCAGTGAGTCCGTTTTCAGGGACGGTTTAAGTTTAAGATTCGTTGGTTGAGATTGACTTGCGAGCAAAGGATGCTCACAGTCAGTGTTAATTTATTAGAGTACGTGTCAGAATGAAATTGCAAGAAAGAACATAAATTTCCATTGGAACTCAGTGGAATCTTCTGAAGATCTTTTCTGAGTAAAATTTTTACGACGAAACTACGAATTGTTAATCGTAGCGTTGAGAGATGGAAAAGGACAATACAGTTCATGTTTTCACTTTGTAAAAACATTGGTCACGACGTAATTGATTTCTAAGGAAGCCGGTACTTGCTGCATTAAATAATTTACATTCTCAACTTTAAAATTCAAATAAATATGACGTAACACTCAAAATCCTTGATATAACGCTGAGAACGAAATAAAAAAAGATTTCTGCTGATGTTCGAATACTTTCGTAAGCGACCGCAAGCTCGTAAACGAGATTAGTCACGCGTTTTTGCGCGCGAGGAGCCAGGCTCATGTTCAATCTCCGAAGAGAGAAGACTAATCGATCCCACGGGTGACCGCGAGTTGTCATCGTGTCCCAAAGCGTGAACAGATGTTGTTAGGTGACGAGGGAACGGGAAGACCGGTTTTTTCTTTTTTTTTTTTTTTTGGATCGTCCTAAAGGGAGAGGAAAATAGAATGAAAAAGGGGAAAAAAGAAGAAGAAGTGAAGAAAGTGACGGCGATGTCTCGATACGGGCGAGCGTTTGGGATAAATCGCGCGAAAACTATGATCGATGCCTTTGACCTTTGGCCCTGCTCTCCTCCGCCAGCCACTGCATCAACCGACCGTGTTATCGAGATATCGATATTCACACTTTTCTTTCGCTATCTTTGCCTTCCCTTCGTCGATCCAACTTTGCCTCGGGGTGATGAAACCGTAGCCACTCGGGATCGAGTTCAATATGCAGAGGCCAGGTCTTAGATAGACTGAAGATGTTTGTGCATTTCACAGTTTTAGCATATATTGGAAGCGTAATGGAAATTAAATGAAATTCGCGCGTAGTTTAAACAATAACTCGACGTTGATGATTTGTATACTTGGCGAAAGTAAACTAAAAAAAATCTTGCATTTAGTTGGAATTGGAGTGTCTGTAATGACGCTCCCTCTTCGGCCAAAAATGAATAAAATCGTATATTCACTTATCGATTCATCTTTATTGATCTTCAACTCTCGGGTCGGTTATAAAAAGTTTCTGTTCAAATGACATCTCGATGAATGATTGAAGACCGGAAAAAGCGAACGAGGTGGTCGATTAGGTGTATCAAACTTTAATTAAGCCCAAGTGTGTCCGAAATAATTAAACAATCACAAATAGACGGTGAATTTGCAAGGAACGAGAGCATGAAATAAAAATCGTGTTTCCCTTCGTGTTTCCTCCTATGTAATTTCGTATTGTACGTTTGAACAGTGTCAACAGAATGGGATTGTAACGTAGATGAAATCTCGCGGCTCGCTGTTAACTGTGTTTGTTAACAAATAATCTCATGATAAAAGAGTATCGTATTAATCGGTAATGTGGTAAATCCGCGAGCTCTCCGCCGTGGGTAAAATATCGCTTTAATTCACACTCTCACAGTTTCTTTCATCCGCGAAAATCACGGTGTAAATATCGCGAATGCCGTGTATTAATCGAACACCAAAATAGTGTAATAAAATTCCAGGCAAGCATTCAATAAATGGGGGCGTTTCAATTCGCCGTGAAACTCGCGCACGCACGGCTGAATATTAACTATCTGATTAATCAGAAAAGGGATTTTATTAAATAAATGATCAGTAGGCTACACAGAGTGGGTGTCTATTCCATGAAAATTAATTATTTAGATAAGTCAGATATTTTCTTAAGACCAACGATAACATGTTAAAAGTATCTTTGCGTCTCGTATTAAATCTTCAAACCACTTTCATTTGAAAGATAATGAACCACGTAATACTAAATGATTGACGTGTTTTACTACGTACAACACATTCACTATCATATTTATTTATTTCAATATAATTTGAGAGAAAAATCGATTCGACGACATTCTGACTTTGGTATCCGCAGCAATCATATCAATGTCAGGTATCTCTTCTGTGTAAATTAGAAAGAAAGGGAAATGTCTCAAAAGAACGAGAGGTGTCAAAATGTTACCCTTAATGTCACGTGACACACAAGAGATACAAAATCTCGTAAAGTCGTCGTCGCGCCAGCCAAACAAGGTTCGGCTTGTGACTTAATCGTTTGAGCAAACGACAAGCCCGGATCCCGAGAACGAGGGGTTAACACCCTCGTTTCTCCGTCGTGGTAGCTACGACGTCAACGATAATACAAACACGGAATAGCGACGATGTTTACGGAGAACATTTTTTGACGATTGTTCGGCAGGGAAGGGACGGCTCTACCCGGCCTACAGTTTGAGCGGCAGCGAGGGTGAGGAAAATTCGCCAAGCCTGCGAGGTCGCGCACCTCCCGCCTACCCTCAAAATAATCACCAGACCACGCAGTCACACCTGAATCACTACAACGCCAGCCAGCATAAACAACGTGCCTATCAACAGCAGCAGCAACAGCAGCAGCAGCAGCAGCAGCATCCCTTGTATCATATGCCCAGCACTGGTGCTGGACTTAGCGACACACCGACTTCCGGCAACGCGTCCGACGAGACCCTCACCGACAGTGATCTGATTACTGTTGCCCGCGACTCTGCTCTGCTCGTCCATAACGGTGAGTGATTTAACCAATTTTTGGAAAGAGACTGGCGAGTCTCTGTAACGATCCTCGATCAATTTCATTGCGTTTATATCGTCGTTTTGAATCGTCAGAATTTTTCTTGAGGAATTCACAGAAATAAATAAATAAAAAGTAATAAAATCGTAAGTGATAAACAGGCGTTTGGAAAATTTCCTGAAATTCGAATCAAATCTGAGGGATGTAACAGAAAATTTTATAGAAACTTCAAATGTGATTTGAAAATTTGTCGTTGTCGGTTTAGTCGTCGCTAAGGTAATCATTTCAAAGATCAACAATCACTGAGCTGTTCAAATTCGTTGTCATCGCGTATGTAACTCTCAAAACCCGCGGGATCGGCCGAAATTCTTTAAAAAAAAAAAAAAAAAAAAAAAACGCGATAATACGCTCACGGGAGCGTTCCTGTACGCTGTGACGCGCCTCAGGCTGACCTCGCCGGTGTGAAATCAGGGCCAGGGGGCACGATCGATCATGGCCTCTAGCAAAGGGTCAGTTTCTTGCATGGATAATCGGTGAGAAGTGGAGGAACGTTGCCACACGGTAGTAGACGGAGTCGGTCATTCGCAATAACGCGAAATCGTGTCCCTACATTACTCAAACATGATGGATGGCCGTTGCCGCGATGAGGTGTGAGGCCACACACGGGGGTTTGTCGGAGACGGAGGTTATCGGCACACCGGCTTGTCACGGATGACGTATCGCTCCGTAGGTATACCGAGTGCATGGTACACAGCCACGTCTACTCCAACCTGCGCCAGCCTCGTCCTCGAGGGCGTAACACCTGGAAACTCTCTCTCCCTCTCTCTCTCTCTCTCTCTGGATTCAGAATCTTCGGTGGACAGTTGCTAGTGAAGGGTATTTATCACGTGGAAGACGCGGGACGAGTCAATCGGTAGCGCGACAGCTTCGTTCAGGGTTCATTTACGAAATAAATAGCGACGAGCGCGTTGCAAGGGAACAGAGTTATCTTCAGGCTGGCGCGCGTGAAGTTTGACTCTGAATTTACTCGTAATCTCGTGAATTGGACAGGGAATAAATCGGTTGACTTTCATTCAGTTTCGCGCGAGCCTCGAGATGAATTGTACTTGTATCTCTCCGGGGGTTGATCAACTAATTCGGACGATCTAAATGCTCGTCGGTAGAACGAATTTCGGGTTTTCTTTTTTCACACAGTTACGGGTGGTTTTTGTCAAAGTTAACGTTGATTTCTAGACAGTGATTGTACTATGTATCTATGTATTTTAATTATTGCCACTGATTTGTACGTGAAGCACTGAAGATCGGTAGTTGCAGTGTTAATTATTCGCTGATTTCTGATATCTTGTGATTTTGATATACGAAAATGTCATCGATTAGTTGTTTCACGGAAACTGACTTTGTTGCAACAAATATATTCAGTTTAATGAATGGTCGGCCGAAGATGGTTGTCGTTAATCCAGAGACAATTCGACACGCACCGGTGTAATCGCGAGACGCGCCATATCCCTATCCCTGTCCCGCGGATGACGCGTTGCTTTCCACTGTCATGCTAATCCGTCGCGGCCGTAATTGCCGATTTATGCGCGGATCGTAATGCGTGCGCAATGTGTCCCTGAGGGGCTCGAGAGGGAATTACTTATCCCACGAAGAAGGAAATCGCGGGGCGCTGACGCTGGCTGCGATGATGAATGACGAAACCTCACGATGATCACCAGTCTCGCCGGTCGTATAGAACAGTCACGTTGGCGGAACGAAAACCCGCAACGAGAGGTGGATCCTCTTTTATTTCGCCCCGCGCGTAGTGGCTAGGGACACAGGGCTAGAGTCATTGTGATTCAGCTGAAATCTTAATGGAGTATCGCGTCTACTGTGAACTCGCCTCTCGTTTCCCATTACGGTCAATAAAAGGGGCGGATTCGAAGGCATATTTTTGCTTCTTCTTTTTCTTCTTCTCGCGGAGCGAAGGAAAGGTAAAATAAGGATGGTAGAAAGGGAGAGGATGGTTTACTAGCCACGCTGACGTGATTTCAGTCTGGACGATCCATTCTGCGCGACGCGGGGAACCACTTCCATTTAGATGCTCATCTCGCGGAAAAGATTTCACGAGGATATATATATATATATATATAGAGAGAGAGAGAGAGAGAGAGGAAGAGGAGGAGGAGACGTTATGTCTCCTTTCGTTCGGGCAGACCGGAACGAGATGCTATCGTCGAAATAAACGATCGCGGTTAAATGCTTCGCTCGCAATACGAGCCATTAACGCGCATCCACGCTAATATTCTGCTATCATCGATACCGGAGTGCGGAGACGTAAGCAGCGACGTGATGTCTTCGTTTAACAGACCTCTGACGGGTGTATCGGTTTACCTGGTTAATGCTCGCGTGATTTCTTATAAAACACTGCCCGATACTCTCTCGGAACGACAGCGGAACGATTTTACGAAAGTTGGCAGATCTAGAGTGACAAACAAGATTAGGATCGCGCTTTACGACCGTGTTTTACTAAATCATCAACGAGTGGAATTGAACTTAACATCTGCATCTCCGTCGACGTACGTGGATAAATCGGGGATCGAGCGTAAACGAAAGCCAATAAAAATAGATAAAGAGCAGACGAACGAGAATAATGGGAGAATGATAAAACGAGGGCGATAGCGACAGGTTGCAGCGAGACGTTTCAATTTGACGTTTCGCCGGCTGTGTTTCGTATCCGTCTATGAATCTACAAGCCTGGAGGATCCGCGACATGCTTACTTACCAATGTTAATACAGACTACAGTGGCTGCGTTAACCGTGGCAAGTATTGCTGCCAGCTAGGACCACGTAGATTACTGCTTGTTCCGTTATTGTAAGGTATGTAATTACTACACCCACTATCATCAGCGTGTGTATAATTACTACATGCACTATCATCAATGGGTATCTAATTTCTACACGTACCCTTGCCAATGGGTGTGAAATTACTGGATGTACTGGATGTCCGACCTGCCGTCCCTTTCGAACTAATATCGTGTACCGCCGTGGATTGCGTAATTACCTGGCGTACGTAGTTCTTAAAATTTCCGTATGCGATGATCTCGCCCGATCTGTTTCCGGAGCCTCAACGATCGTCCAATTCCCGTCAAATTGGTTTTCAGCTTACGTACATTGACACGATTTCGTGAATACCGAGGCTTACGACGCTATTAATATGAATCGATGGGAAACGATTTTTTACGATCATACACGCGCGTAAATCACTGTGTGAAAATTTGATTTTGTTGTTGTTGTTGTTGTTGTTCGAGGATTTTGTTTAAATGTTTGGAGAAATTTGTGTTGCCAGAGTTGGAAATTAATTGTCAGATTGTGCATGTTTCCAGTATTATGAATACTATTGAAGAGAGTGTACAAACGCAACAGCGTGGAAAGCGTTGAAAATAATCCCTTTAGTTTAGTAGTACGAAAGCTTTTTAAAAATTTTCACGGACGTTGTATTTTTATTTTAAAAGTGTCGGAGGGTTTTGAATACTTTACGTGCAACTTGTTGCTCCGTTGGTATAATCATGCACCTAATATTAAACAAAGATTGCATATTTCAGTCTGGCTTATAAATATGAATTAGGGAATCGTGCGACTAATGACATTAATAATTTAACACTTCCCATTTACTTGGTAAATTTAATGAAATTTAGAGATATCGACGCACGAAGTGATACAGCATTCAGAATGCGATACTGAAAAATTGGATCGTCTCGGTGTACTTAATCATTTAAAAACTGTTCTGAACAGAACGTTATATAATAAATCCGGTGATATTTATTTATCTCCGATATCAAAATCAATTCACTACGAACAGTTTTGTTGAAGACACGCAAACACTGTGTTTTAATTTTCATAAACGTGCAACTTTCTGTCGCGATCGAAACCTTTCGGTTTCTCTGAATACCGATCGGTCTGTTCTTCTCTCTCTTTCTCTCTCTTTTTTTTTTTTTTGTTCGCGGAGTTGCGCCAAGTTTCGACACAAACTATTCACTAATTGTCTGCGATATCTGAACGACTGGTATGTAACGTATAATGGCGGCGGAGAAAAGAGAAGTTGGCGGTGCAGTGTACCTGTGGAATTCAAGGCAGCCGAACGGGAGGGCGGGGGTGGTCGTTGAAACGTGGAATGTGTAGATGGGAATAGAACGGTACCAGTTTGTCCGTTCTTTTTCCCAGACAAAGAAAAAGGAGGGGGGGGGGGAGACTGCGAAATGAATGATCGGTGTCTCTGACTTCTGGCCAGTATATACATACATATTACACAAATTTCTCCTCGCTTAATTATATATCGCAATTGATTAGTTGCACGATTGAAATAACGATTTGACCCGGGAAATTTTAAAGATTTCAAGATTATTAATTTTATTGAACAACAGATTCAACTATATTGAAATTTAAATTTACCAGTATCGTTGGCAATTGAAATTATTAAAACTATCGTAGTCTCCGAAATATTTTGCTAAACTCCGTCTGCAAAATATTTTCAAATGCAACGACAGACTGCTCTCTGACGATTGTTTTCAGACCTGTTCCACGTAGGAATAACATTTCGACGAAAATAAAACGCGGACGGTGAATAAGAACCCGCCGTGTCACATCCGTGTCCTGCGTTAGTCAGAAAAATATCGCAACAATGCGACACGTTCGAGTGATAAATTATGCGGCGTGTCACGAGACGAGAACGACAGAGGCACGAACGAGAGAAGTGACTCAGCCGGGGGCTAATTTGCCGGCGTAGAACGTCAGAATAAATTCGGCTTCCGTCATCATCGGCGGGTTAATCATCGGCCCTTCTCCTCCTGCTCGGAGGTTTTCATCGTGCAATGAATTAGGATTTTCGTGTGCGTGTGTGCGCGTGTGTATGTGTGTGTGTATGGCCGTCGGCGGGCGTGACGAATTCCTCGATCTCGCCTGCCGCTAATGAGACGGAAGTAATCCCCCCTCTCTTCAGGTATTCATTCGCGCTGGTTTGA